TAGTACCTGCAAAACCAGATGAGCTAAACCGGTGCGACTCTAGTCACACGGGCTCCGATGCTTAAGTTAGCAGGAGAATAATGTGAAATGTAGCCAATTTTAGCTGCCCTTACCTCTAAGGCTGGATCGCTACTTATAGTCATCAGGTTGTTCCAGAACATTCCATAGGTAGCTAACCCTAATTTCGTTGGCGGGCCTGGGCGAAACCGTGGATTGAAGACGAAGGACCGCTGGAGGGCCGTGGGCCGAGCCTCGGGTCGGGACCGAGCCCATCACGGCCCAGTGGCTTCCTCCCGATCTTCACCTGCACCTCAACTTTCGATTTCCATTGCATAACAATAACAATAAAATATTATTATAAAAAAATCATAATAAAATATAATAAGTAGTTCAGCATTCACACAACATCGTATGTGTTGATTTAAATTCCAATAAAAAGTATTCATATGAAAAAAAAAAGAATTATGTAAAATATTTACCTAAATAAATAATTAGGAATAGTAAAAGACAATGAACACAAAATATGTTTAAATCAATATTTTGAATTATATAAAATTAATATAATAAAATATGAATACCTAAAATATTCATATAATAATAACAAGACGTTGAAACCAATATCTTCAAGAGTTACGTTATAATTTATAATTTTTTAATTATTTTTTATATACTTTAAAATAAAACTTTAAAGTTCCACATCTTTATTTCTTATTAGTATATATAAAAATAAGGAGAAAAGGTGAGTCGAAAAAAAGGTTCAGAAACTATCCACTTAGGAAATCTGATTTTAAATTCAATACATCTAAATCAAACAGGTTTATTTTTTTTTTTAATTTTTAATTCAAAACCTGACGTTAACAAAAAAATAAATTAGATTTTGTGATGTTTAATTCAAATTCGGTCCTAATTAAATATAATCTTTTTGAAAAAAGTTAATTTGATCTTTAGAATCCCCAATTTATCTTTTATTTTTTTAATTTGTTTTTGGCATATTTTAAATTTGAAATTATAATGAAACTTTAACGAAAATCAATTCAAATTCAAATTTTAATTTCTATTATTTTTAATTAGGCTAGACAAATATGGTAGTTACCAAATGCCATAATTTCTAAAAAAATTAAAACAAAAAACAAAGAAACAATAACCTTAACAAATAATCCCACGCATTTCAAGGAAAAGAATAACATTTTCGTTTTCCTATATTTATGTAGATTACATTGTTTAAAATTAGAAAAGGTACATAATAATTTGAAAAATAAAATTTATAAAATAATTTTCCAAACACAAACAATCACCCCAATTCCAAATAAACTGGTTATAGAGAAAAAAAAAAGAAAAAAAGAAACATATTTTCCGAAGGCCGAAATTGATTAGGACAGGAGATATTAGGATTTAGGATTACGAATTCTCTGAAATTCCTAAATCCTAATTCCACTTGAAGTCCTACTCTCATACAAATTTGGAATTTCTTCTTATTCTACGTTTTGACTTGCATTCTCTATAAAAAGCCAAAGGCAGTAACAGCTTCTCACTCACTTGCCTCACACTCCACAACACAAAACAAAACTCTTCCACTCACTTCCAATACCATGACCAGTACCGTCTTAGAGATTCACAGCGCTGACTCGCCGGCTCCGGCTGCCGGCGATGACGAGTGCTCCATCAAGCAAGTGGATATTACAGTGTCGAAGACCGATGACCCGAACTTGCCGGTTCTCACCTTTAGAATGTGGGTCTTGGGGATTGCCTCCTGCGTCATACTCTCCTTTGTCAATCAGTTCTTTTGGTACAGATCCAATCCCTTGTCGGTTTCTTCCATTGCTGCGCAGATTGCTGTGGTTCCCATTGGCCACTTGATGGCCAAGACGCTTCCGACTCGACCTCTTTTCAAGGGCACGCGTTTCGAGTTCACTATGAATCCTGGACCCTTCAATATTAAGGAACACGTTCTCATTACTATTTTTGCCAATTCTGGTGCGGGCTCTGTTTACGCTACTCATATTTTGACTGCTGTTAAGCTCCTCGACAAGAGGCAACTCACTTTCGTTCCTGCCTTGCTTATTATGCTCACCACTCAGGTTTCTTCTTCATTCCCTTTTCTAATGTTGATTTCTCTTATCTGTTTGATTTTTCCGATGTTGATAATCAGTGTTTCTACTTATTTGATAGATTCTTGGATTTGGGTGGGCTGGAATCTTCAGAAAATATCTGGTTGAGCCCGGGGAAATGTGGTGGCCATCTAATTTGGTTTAGGTTTCATTGTTTAGGTGACGTGTCTTCTTACCATGGTTTTAGTTTAATGAATCTTTTATTCTTTGTATTCATACAGTTAAGTTAGTTAAGTTTGCTGACTAGAGGAATTTTGGGACTTGCAGGGCTCTCCACGAGAAGGAGAAGAGATCGAAAAGCGGCACCACTATCACACAATTCTTCATTTTAGCAATGATCTGCAGCTTTGCTTACTATGTTCTTCCTGGCTACCTTTTCTTTATGCTCACCTCTTTCTCTTGGGTGTGTTGGTTTAATTCCAAGTCTGTTTTACTTCATCAACTGGGCTCTGGCACACGCGGCCTTGGAATTGGCGCATTCGGGATAGATTGGACCACAATTTCATCTTACCTTGGAAGTCCCCTAGCTAGTCCTTGGTTCGCCACTGCCAATATTGCTGTGGGATTCTTTCTTGTTATGTATGTGACGACACCCATTTGCTACTGGTTCGATGTTTATGGAGCAAAGAAGTTTCCTATATATTCGAGCAGCCTTTTCATGTCGAATGGTCTCAAGTACAACATCTCAAGCATTGTGAATTCAAATTTCCATCTTGATCGAGGTGTTTACCGCACAACTGGGCCTATAAATCTCAGTACCTTCTTTGCAATGACCTATGGACTTGGATTTGCCACACTTTCTGCTACACTTGTTCATGTCTTTCTCTTCAATGGAAGGTAAATTCTCAACCAAACTTCAAAACTAATAGTTTAGGCCTTGTTTGGTAACCATTTGTTTTTTAAAATTAAACTTATAAACATTACTTCCACTTGTGTGGTTTTTATCATTTTGCTATCTACAGCTTAAAAACATTTTCAAATTTAAACAAAATCTGAAAAATGGCCAAAAGTTACCAAAGAAATGATAGAACAACCAGATGGTAATTGATTCATGTTCTATATTACTTGCTGATTCATGTTCTATATTACTTGTAGGGAACTGTGGAACCAGAGCAAAAGCGCATTTGGAGGGAAGAGGAAAATGGACATACATACGAGGCTTATGAAAGCCTATAAACAAGTACCTGCATGGTGGTTCCTCATCATCCTTGGGTTGAGCATTGGTCTCTCTGTTTTTACTTGCCAATATTACAATGCATCTCTTCAATTGCCTTGGTGGGGTGTTTTGCTAGCTTGTGCTGTTGCCTTCTTCTTCACTCTTCCCATTGGCATCATTGCTGCTACCACAAACCAAGTAAAGTCATGGAATCCTAATTAAAATCAAAACTACATGTCTGTTTGGTTTCAAGAGATGACTTACTCACGTTAAGTCCAAATGTCTTTCTTGTTTGCAGTCACCTGGTTTGAATATTATAACAGAGTATATCATTGGCTATGCGTATCCCGAGCGCCCGGTAGCCAACATGTGTTTCAAGGTGTTTGGATATATCAGCATGACACAAGCTCTAACATTTGTATCCGACTTTAAACTTGGTCACTATATGAAGATCCCACCCCGGACAATGTTCATGGCCCAGGTGAATTTTATTTTCTATACTTTGGTCTAAAATTATAATACAACATGAAATGGAGTATATGCTAAGTGTGTTATTGTTATTCATAATGAATTAACTTTATGTGGCAGATGGTGGGAACAATCATAGCCGTCGTGGTATACATTTCAACTGCTTGGTGGCTAATGGGATCAATTCAAAACCTTTGTGACACCAACCTGCTACCATCGAACAGTCCCTGGACTTGCCCGATGGATCGCGTGTTCTTTGATGCTTCAGTCATTTGGGGGCTTGTTGGGCCTCGTAGAATCTTCGAGAACTTGGGAGAATATGGAGCTGTGAATTGGTTCTTTATTGGTGGAGCCATTGCCCCTCTACTCGTATGGATTGCGCACAAGATGTTCCCCAAGCATTCATGGATTCGCCTCATCCACATGCCTGTACTGTTGGGCGCTACAGCGATGATGCCGCCTGCTAGTGCCGTGAACTTCACCAGTTGGCTCTTATGTGGGTTTCTATTTGGATTTTTCCTTTTCAGATACAAGACACAGTGGTGGAGACGCTACAATTATATTCTCTCCGGCGGCCTGGATGCGGGAACTGCTTTCATGACAATATTGATATTTCTGACTCTAGGATCAAAGGAAATTGACTGGTGGGGAAACAATGTGGACGGCTGCCCGTTTGCCACTTGCCCCACTGCTAGAGGAGTTATGGTTGATGGCTGTCCAATTATATGATCTAACTTTTTAGCTTAGCAACTAGAAGGGTTTATAAACTGATTTTTTATTTTTAGATAGCTTCTTTACCGTAAATATGTCATCTGGATCTGTAAATGATGATTCTTGTAACCGTCCATTTATTAAACTTAAAATATTCTGCTTATTACAAATTGATTTTTAAATTAACCTAATTAACTAGTATTCTAACTAAATAAGTAATGATGTTTGTTATCATTATTATCTTTTTCAAGGTAGAATAAATAAGGGTAAATATTTTAAGATGTATGAAATAAAGTACCATGTCAACACGATAATTATTGGTGAATTATACTTATAGACTATTGACAATAAAAAAGCTCGCTTAGATATACATGTCAAGTTCGAACCTCATTCCTACATGTAAAAATAAAAAAGCTCAAACTTTATTAAACGTGAATTGAAAAACCGGTGCGCCGACTAACCAAAGCAAATCGGCTCGGTTCGATTCGCCCCTTACGTTTGAAATGTTCGGTTCGACTTAAAGAAGTAACGAACGAACCGAACCCTCTCCCCTTCCCGCAGATCGACAGATTCAAGATTCAGTTCACATAAATCTCTCACAAATTTCTCGACCGCCCTCTCTCTGTGTAAATTCTTTCATTTCTCCTCTCCGGACTGGTATGATTCTTTCTTTCAGATTCGGTTATTTTAATTTATGATCTTCAATACTCACCTCCTTGTGTTTTTATAATTAAAATTGGTATTAGACCGACCATTCATCTTTTTCCCACTCTCTGCCAGTTGGGTTTTAGTTTAATCTTATGATTATCTATGGAAACAACCGCAATCAAACATGGCGCTTGTAAATCTAGGCAGCCGTAGCCGTCGCTTCGTGAATTATCCTTACTTGTATGCTGTCTGATTCTGTTGCATTGTAATTTTGCATCATTTAGTGAGAACAACAGAGGCAATCAAGATTTGCTTAGAAACTGTTACAAAATCGAGGTCATGAACGAAGAACAACGTGATCTCCTTCTTAGCTCGTCTTCTCGCTTCCCTCCTCCTCAAGGTCGCTTCCCCATTTTCACCATCTTTTTTTTTTATTATTACAACTGCTACTGCTGTTCAAAAAGATTCTATCCTTACATATCTACTGTGTATTTTTTGTGTTGTTAGGAGTTAGGTTATCTTATGGAACGGCAGGTTTTAGGGAAGATGCCTGGGTGCTTCTTTCGACAGTTTATAGGGTGGGAATTCTGGCTGCTTTGAGAGCTTTGAAAACTGGGGGTGTGATCGGGTTGATGATCACGGCCTCTCACAATAAGGTATCTGACAATGGGGTGAAAATTGCTGACCCAAGTGGAGGGATGCTCACCCAGGAGTGGGAGCCCTTTGCTGAGGCGCTCGCCAATGTGTCTTCCTCGCAAGAGATCGTTCGAGTATGACTATCAATTACAAATTTTAATGCCCTCGGTTGTCTTAGTTTCATCTTATTTTCTCCACCTTTTTGGTTATTGATTGATATGGGAGAAAATGGAGACTGGGATATGGAGGAAGAGGAGTTGGGGATGGGTTGTTTTACTTGAAAGTTGACTTTTCTTTTGCTAGAATTTTCAATTTATTTAGAGGGTGAGTGTCAGTTTGTTATTATTTCCCATTTGTTTGCCCTTAATATAACTGGACATGGAACTTAAGATGTGATATGTAATTAAATTGACAAACAGTTAATCAATGACTTTGCGGAGAAGGAAAATATCATATTGAATGGAGCAAAATCTGCTAGAATACTGGTGGCAAGAGATACAAGGCCGAGTGGAGAAGAGCTACTCGATGCTGCTAAACATGTATCTGCCCTTCTTTTTGAAATAGTACTTCATTTCTGTGTTTTTCTTTCTTTTTTTTTTGGTTACTTTTTTCCTCCCCTCTTAGTTAAAATAGTGTTCATTTTGTTCACTTGAGCTGTTAAAATTGATTGAAGGGAATTGGTTCAATCAATGGGGCTGTTGCTCATGATATGGGAGTTTTGACAACGCCACAGTTACATTGGATGGTTCATACCCAAAATAAAGGCATGAGGGCATCAGAATTTGATTACTTTTATTCACTTTCAGAATCATTCAGGTTGTCTTATTTTATTTACTGAATTTAGAAATTTACCAATTTGGAATACTTCGTAAGGGCTTTTGTGTTTGATAATATAGGGACTTGTATTTGAACTCAAATAATGGTGAACTGAATGATTGGGATAACCAGTTGGTTGTTGATGGGGCTAACGGTGTCGGTGGACTGAAACTAAAACTATTAAAGGAAATGTTGAAAGGTGTGTCTATTGAGATTCGTAATTCTGGAAATGAAGAAGGGATACTCAATGAAGGAGTTGGTGCTGATTATGTTCAGAAAGAGAAGATTGTTCCACGTGGCTTTGGTTCACAAGATGTTGGGATCAGGTTTGTCATTTCTCTGTTGTTGATTAGTAGAGCTTAACATGGTTCTGAAGTATACCATAATCTTATTCTATTCGTAGTTATATATGCTCCATCTTCTTGGTTATAGTTTATTGATAAGATATGACTTTTCACTGGCTACCTTTTATGGTCTATTTGTTTGTCATTTCAAGTTCTTTCCAAGTCCTAACAGATTTCAAATGAATGAATTCCGTTTGTTATCACATCAAATAGAATGATTTAAAATATTACATGATTTTGTATCATGTTTTCATTTAAAAAAGTTTCCGAACGAAAATGATAAAATTTTAAAGTAAATTACTTATTTAACCTTGTCATATTTTAACTTTCTATTGATAAATTAAGATCAAAAGCCTATATTTGTAAAATTTGCAAAAACATTCAAATAAGAAATTTAATTACATTCTTTTCAATATTTCTCATTCCAAACAAGATGAATAACTAAATCATTTCTCGAATTTCAAATTATAGGATTTAAAATCATTTCTTGAATTTTGTTGATTTCGAACAAAGGTTAGAGAGCAGATATTGGTTGTGGTAAGTTCAATCTATTAAGCTAGAGAATTTATATTTTATTATTTATAGGACTGAATTATTGGATACTTCTAGCTTTTCAGGTGTGCTAGTTTTGATGGCGATGCTGATCGGCTCATATATTTTACCGTGCCATCAAAAAGTAGCAATAAGATCAATCTTGTCGATGGGGACAAGATATTATCTTTATTTGCTATATTCATCAAGGAACAATTAACAATTTTAGCAGGAAGGGACAAAGATAAAATCGAGTTTGAGCCCCGCCTTGGTGTTGTACAAACTGCTTATGCAAATGGAGCATCAACTCGGTATCTTAAAGAGTTGGGACTGGAAGTAGTGTTCACTCCAACAGGAGTAAAGTACCTGCATGAGAAAGCTGCTGAGTATGATATTGGGATCTATTTTGAAGCAAATGGTCATGGGACTATCTTGTTCTCAGATTACTTCGATGGCCGGATATTTCCCATTCATAATCAGCTCTACAGTGTAGCTAAAGGTAATATATGACATGGTATTTGTTATCTGTGTTGGGTCACTTTTAGAGGTCATATTAGGAATATTAGGGGGTGACATATTTGTAATTGAGGAGTTTGTTAGGGTGGAATGTTTATAAATAGGGAGAGTTAGGAACTAATATTGGGAATTAATTTTATGTGGGACATCTCTCTCGTAAGGCTATTATCATTTTAGTTTTCTCTTTGATATTGCAATATAAGTCCGGTGTTGTTTTCTTATAACTGAGATTCTAATAACTAAATTTTGAGCATAAAAGTTACCTCATCATATCTTTCAGATTCGGAAGAGGAAAGTGCAGCCAGGAGATTACTGGCAGTCAGTAAATTAGTCAACCAAGCTGTGGGAGATGCTCTGAGTGGCTTGCTTCTAGTCGAGGCTATTCTACGGTACAAAAATTGGTCGATACATAAATGGAGTGAGCTTTATCAGGACCTACCGAGTAGGCAACTCAAGGTTTGCTTGTTGATTCCCTTTCTCTATGAAACAAGTTTATTATTTTACTTTTGAGAGAAAAGAAGCAAATTTTTTTCTCTTGGTTGGCTAGGTTTTTGTTAGTGTGCTGTATTTAGAGCTTTCTATAAGGTGGTTCTTTAGGAGTTTTAACAAGGAAGTGGTTATGCTCGTTGATGTAGAGACCATCGAGTCTTCTTACAAGTATCTATGGTCCTGTTTTTTAAAGTCACATTTTGTTCGTTACTAAACAATACAATTAAAATTCAACTTCATATTCTGTCTCTGGAGTAGGTGAATTTTGCTTGTTGGGAATGCAAAAACTGTAGCTGTTCGTAATTTTGTTTTAGGCTTCTGTTGCTAAGGATTTTAGTAATTATCCTATCTCTAAATTCAAGAATTGGAGCCTTTTTTTGTAATTTTGTTTAGTTTGTTTTTCTGTTTTTTGTTAGCTTCTTTTTTCTGGTTCCTTTTAGTTTTGGCTACGTCTTTTTTATTTATTTTTTCTTTCTTTGTATTTCCCTTGTGAATTCTTTCCTTAGGTCTCAAAGAAAGCTGTTCTATTCATTAAAATAATAATAATAATAAATATGTATATATATTTATAATAATAATAAAATAAGCATTTTTTACTTGGGTTGCCCTTAGAAGACACCCTGCTTAAGACACTCTGCTTTTTTTGGTTAAGGGTGGCAAAGTTTTACCTTCCGACTTTTTATATATAATCTTTCCAAGCTAAAATTTAAGGGTAAATTAGGGGGAAAATCATTAACGTATAATACTTTGCATCTAAGACGAACTAGGGGCAATTGACCTCCTTCTCCCGTCTCCACATTATCAATTCAACTATTGTAGTAAGTCGGATCGTGAGCCTGCAGGAGCATACATGTTTGTCGCTCTCATAAGCAACTATTTGAAGAAGATCCTTCTTTGATTTGAATATGACTCTTTCTTCCTTAACTCGCAGGTGAAAGTTGTTGATAGAACTGCGGTTGAAATGACCAATGCAGAAACTGAGGTTGTAAAGCCACCTGGTATACAAGAAGCTATCAATTCCGAAATAGGTAATGACAATATCGAAATCTTTATTCGCTTGGTTAATTTTGTTGCAAGTTTCAACTGACATATTGCATAATTATCCTTTCCATCTTTTACAATCTTGCTTTTGGGATCTACTTAATTATACCACTTTTAAAAGTCATCCCAAAATCATTCAAAAACTGATTTACATATTCATAATTCACACCGTAGAAAGTAGCCCAAGATGTGGTCCATGTGGAGTAATGTGTGGCCTCTTCAATTGCAAGATATCACCAACATTTTCACCCTACCTAAAACTGAAATCAAAAGAAAAATGTCTTTAAATTGGTGCAATCTTTTTAAGTTTTCAAAATCTACTTTTAATAGCAGCCATGTGATACTTATTGTGGCAGGCTTGTGTCTTTTCTATTTTGTAGGTATTTGGATTGAGAAGAATAGTAGAATTTTTAGGAGTGGAGAGGTCTGGATCTAGTTAGATATAATACTCTCTTTGTGGGTGTCGATTTCCAAGTCCTTTTGTAATTATCAATTAGGTCTCATTCTTTTAGATTGGGGTCCATGATCTCCTTTTGGTAGGCTTGTTTTATATTCTTTCATTTATTTTCAATGAAAGTTTGATATAAAAAAAATAAAAAGATCTGAGTGAGATTTGTGATTCTGTTATGTTTTCTCTTTGATTCCAATTTCCATCTTGAGTTCGAACTATAAAAACTGTTATGTACATTCCCTTCTTCCTCTGTATTGTTTTCTCTTTTCTTGTCATCCCATTTGGATTAATATGTCTCATATTTGTCTATGAAATCTGTTCTGGATGTGAAAAGAAAAATGGCAGTGTGTCTGAGATCCTTCAATCCTTTTGGTCAGCTTTATAATCTTAACAGATTCTACAAACTATAATGTCCACGATTGTTTTTCGTTTCTGTTGCAGCAAAATATCCTCAAGGCCGTTGTTTCATAAGGCCATCAGGAACCGAGGACGTTATCCGTGTCTATGCAGAAGCATCCACACAGGAAGGAGCAGATAACCTAGCAAGCTCAGTAGCGAAAGTAGTAGACCAATTCCTCGGGGTTGGCAGCTCAAAACAAGCAGATCAATGAACGACCATGAGACACATGATGAAAATAATGTTTCCATGGATGAAGCTCTGTTAGAGATTCATCCTAGTCGATATGATCAGCTTCTAATTGTTCGTTCTTAAAGTTTTTACAGAATTTTGCAATGTAAAGATTACATAAGCCGTTCATTTAGTCTTTGTCAGTGATTGCATTCTCAAGAAGTGAACATTGGAGTTGAACAGACATTTCAATAACATTTGTTAGACTGTAAAATAATCTTTTGAATGTTGATGGAGATTGTTGTTGGGCACTCTTTTAAAAAATGGTTTCTGTTTTTATTTTCCCAACTGTTATTAATAATATCTCTTAGAATAATTTATAATGCTCATGGTTCTGTAAGGAAGAACCACTGGTTGATGAATGTTTTCTAGTTTGCAAATTTTCAAATGAAGAAATGGGATTAACTTTTTTTTCCCCTTTCGTAAAGCTTCTTTTTTGGTTGCTATATTACATAATCACTCGAACATTATTTAACATATACGAAAGATGATTCTCAATAAAACTAATTTCCTTCTTTTTTTTTTTTCTTCCTGGAGAACTCGAGTGAGAGATAGAGGGCTCTTCTTCTCTCCTTGGCCACTTTTTTATTATTAAATTTCATAAGCATTCAATGACATTATTGAACATGTATGGCTATAGGTAAAAAATCAAATAGCTAATACCAAATACGATAAACAATAACACTAATTTTGGGAGGGAGAAGGGATTCTTCATTGGGACTCAAGTTGGACTCGTCATGTTATCAAACTGCATTAATATCATTGGCATTCGGTTGGTTTGCCTTGGCTTTTGACTCATCAAGATAATTCTGATAAATATAGGAAACAAATCCCCAAATAGCCAAAACTAAAGCCATGGCCTTCACCCCATCCATTTTGTCATGGAAAAAGATCACTGCAAGAATTGGAACCACAGGCAAAGCCAATGTGCTAATCACATTAGAGAACAATGAAGACACCTCAAAAATCAACCCCAACAAACCAATGGAGGAGACCTGCCAAGCCACTGCAGTCCAAACCACAGTCATCACATAGGACACTCTCCCCTCTCCATACTCCCTCATCTCATCTCCCAAATCCCTCCACTCCCCGCTCACGAAAAGCCCGACCACGCACCCACAGCTCGCCACGAGCGAGGGATATATTTGCATATCCAACACCGTAGAGAATGTTTCTCTCTTCATAACTTTCTCGAAACACACTTGGAGAAGGCATAGATACAACGAGTAAGCAGCCGATGCACCGAGCGTGCAAAGGAACCCGATTATGTACTTCCCTTTAGCAGAATGCGGTGTGGTGTCAGACTCGGAGTTGAACGCTAGAAGGGAAGCTGAAACTGTGAGGAGGACGAGGGAGTTGAGTATATAAGAAGTGAACTTCTGAGCATTGAGGAAGAAGCTGAAAAGTGCATTGAAAGCTAATTGAGTTGCACAAAGAAGTGAGTAAGTAGAGACAGGAAGGTAGAGAAGGCCATAAGAATACATCAAGTTGTCTCCTATCAAAAGAAGACCAAAAGCAAAGCAAATGAAGAAAAATGTGAGGAAATTTTGCTGTTTGGAGGAAAATTTGGTGGGTTGGGGAAAAAGGCAAAGAAGGGGAAGGAGAATTGGAAAGCCAGCTGATTGAACCAATGTGGCCATCCATTTGCTATTCCCTCCTTTGTCATAATAAAGTCTTCCCAAGAGAGTTGCTACAGATTGGCCACAAACAAGAAAAAGGGTGTACAACCCGATACGAATCCGCCGCGTGTATCGTTCGAGCTTTCGAGTTTTGTTTGAATTCCGCTCTCTTTGATTACCTGACCAAATAAATCTAGATGAGTTTAACAAAATCTTTGTTTTCATCTTCATCTTATAAAAAAAAAAAATAGTAAGAGATTCTACCTTTACTACGAAGTTCAACTTCTTCAGCTGCCTCCATGAGGATCTTGAGGCTTTTGAAGAGCAAAGGATCTTGGTGAATTTTAGAAACAAAATAAGTGTTTGGATGCTGAGAAAGTGAAGGAAGATGAACTTTATAAACTTGGGAATAGGATTTGTTTGACTGAAGCTGCACACATTACTCAAAAGTCAAACTTTGAAATACATTTATTGGCTGTGGGGATTCATGGTTGAATGTTTGAAAAGAAAATTTTGGAGTTGGACAAGTTTTTCAAACTCTTATTAATGATCCTGTTTGATTTATATATTGGGAAGTTGTAGGAATAAGGATAAAATAACTTACTGTTATTATTTACTAATAATTAGGCCTTGCTTTTTCCTTTTGTATCTGAGTTTATTTAGGCCTCGTATTTTAAAACGTTTATAATAGATTTTTGGGTTTTTTTAAAAGTTGTGTTGTGACTATTTAGTCTACATATTTTGAAAGATTTTAATTGTCCATTTATAGTTTTGTGTTGAATAGAAGTATGATATTAACTATAATGGTATAATTTTGGATCAAAACAGTCACGTTTTTAAAGTAGGTAGATCAAAATGAACATTTAAAAAGGGACGAATAAATTTTAACCTCCAACTTTTTTGGTGGTAAATATTAATGTCTTGAATCTTGATCAGTTGAGCTCTCGGGGATAATCTCATTCAATTAAAAAAAACAATCATAGTCAGTTACACATCTTCAAAAAGATGGAATGTGGGACTTTGTTGGTATAGATAGTGACCATCAATTTTTTTAATCTTTTCTTAATCATGCTTCCATGATTTTAGAATTTCTCACACTCGAATGTAGTATCAGTTTAGTCATGTATCCCTCGTGGTGTCATAAGTTATTTCAAAAGTGCGAGTAGAAAAAGTTATTAAGAAACTTAAGCATTTAGGTTTTCTATGTTTCTTGTTTCTCTTCCTTTTAGAAATTTTCCCAAAATTATGTCGAAATTTTATAAACAATAAAATCAAGTTTCTTATTTCTTGTTTCTATTTCCAATTTGTTCCAAAATATAAATGTGTTAGTTGAAAAAGGAGGTAGGATTGCTATTGTTAGAGATCATGAAGTTCTATTTTTCTTTATTAAAAAAAGTAAACAAGAAAGAAGAACATTGCGGGCTTTTAAAAATCAAGTTTGTTCAAAAGATATCTCAAACACACTTTTAACTAATTGATTGCAGCCTACATGAGCATAGCTAAATAACAGTTGACATATATTCGTTTCCTTCGAGTAGGAGGGTTCCATACTCCCCATTTATTGTACTAAAAAGGCAATTGATTGCACCACATGTGCAAATTTAGATTTTAAATGGGAACATTTATTTAAATTTAGGTTTGAATGAATGAAAATTGGAATTCGAAATCTATGACGCATTTGATCACAACTTCTCTATTTCGAGTTAGAAATATAGGTGTTCTCATTTTTAACAAACATCTCTAGAAATATCTCAAAAACCATAAAATCAAATTTCTTGTTTTTTAATCTCAATTTTTATTTTTTTACAAAAATATAAATAAAAATATTATTTTAGACTTTCTCTTTTTTATTATTACAATCATTTGGATTAAAATCTAACTCACTCGCAAAGATATATTCTCTTGGGAATGAAAGAAACAAATTTGTAATTTAATTGTACTTTTCTTTTCTCAAAAAGTGTTATTTACTTCTAATCCAAAGTTCAATAAAGATACTGGGACAGGTGGCGACGTGAAATTACCTTTTGGACAGGGGTTGGCAACTTCTAGACGGAAGGGTAAAAGAGTAAAAAGGTCATAAATGAAAGCATGGGGCTGAGAGCAGCGGATTATAGCCCAACTTCATGTGGTACTATAAAAACCTGGTTTCCGCTTTGCACTCTGGATTTTTCCAGAAGCTCAAGAAATCTTCAAGAATCTGCTCCTCTATTTTCTCTCCAGCCCTAAAATCACCAGGTAATGGATATTTTCTTTCTAATTTCCACTTTTTCCTTTCGAATTTTTGTTTTCGATTCTTGGTAGAAGAAAGAGAAGAAGAAGATGATCTCGTCAATTCGCGTGTTGATTTTCTTTTTCATTTCGATTTTGTGTTAATTTTGATAGCTATGGTGATGAATGATGACTATGATTATGGCTCGATAGGTTATTCTCCTCCATCCCTTCTTTTATCTATACCATGCTCTTTTATTGTATGATACAATTTTTATTGACATCTGTTTTTATCCTTTTACAAGATTGTATTTTTATTGTACACGAGAAAGGAGACGATGAGCAGCAGAAATAGTCGCACCATCTATGTTGGCAACCTTCCTGGAGATATTCGTTTGAAAGAAGTAGAAGATCTGTTTTACAAGGTTCTATTTCCTCATATATATATATATATATATATATATATATATATATATATATATATATATATATATTTATATAATCTTCTCATGAAATTTGAGTTTTTAATCATTCGACGATTTTTTTGTTTCCTGCTCAAAGAAAAAAAAAAGGGGAACGAGAATTTTTGTTATTATATTGAGATGTTCCCGAATCTCGACTAAATTTAGTTTAATTGCAGTATGGACCCATTGTCGACATTGATTTGAAGATTCCTCCACGCCCACCGGGCTATGCTTTTGTGGAGGTGAGGTTAAATCTTGACGCATTTGGAACATTTTTAATCTTGAGACCCTTTAAATTATTTTGGGTGTTTTAAGAATTTAGGTAGCTGCATGGAACTGTTGGTGGTCCTTAATGGCAAACTTCTATTCTGTTCATAACTTTAACTGTTTTAAATGCAGTTTGAAGATGTTCGTGATGCGGAAGATGCAATTTATGGCCGAGACGGGTATAAGTTTGACGGATGTCGTTTACGGGTACAAGTTGAAATACATTCTTGCTGACATTATTCTCCTACAGTGTCTAATTCACTTATCAAAGTCTAAGGTTGCAATGATTCTGCCTTTTCTGCCTTCGTAGGTGGAATTTGCTCATGGTGGAAGGGGACAATCGTCTTCAATAGATCGTTATAGTCGTAGTGGAAGCAGCCGCGGTGGTGTTTCTCGGCGAACTGACTATCGTGGTATGTATTTTATTTACTTTCTAGTGTGAAAGTCCGATTCCATTGTGACAATATTTTCTTTCTGCAGTTTTGGTCACTGGATTACCTCCTTCCGCTTCATGGCAAGACCTGAAGGTAAGCATGATGTCTGTTTCTGGAAATAGCACACTAATGTAGTAAGTTGTCCATTTATTTGTTCGATAATAGGCTCTTTTTTTAAATAGAAAAAATATATGACTACACCTACTAATTGATAGTTGTCTTCCTGTAATTCTATATTCAGGATCACATGCGTCGTGCTGGCGATGTCTGCTTCTCTGAAGTTTTTCGAGATCGTGGAGGTTTGTTGCATTTGGCTGAATCTATTGTACTTGTTTGACCTTTCTCGAAGGATTCACAAAGAAATTTGCAGAAAAATTGATTAATTATTACAATGGCAACCTTCATATCTTGCTCTTTTCTTTTAAAAACAATATTATTCTTATTTTCAAATACCTTCTAGGCTTTACTAAGATGAGGTAAACCCAGGGTTGTCTGACTGGTTCTATCTAAAAAAGAATGATATCTGGACACTCATGGATATAAAAAAAAAAAAAAGAATGATATACTGAAAACAAAAAAAGAAGATGTACCGGAAGCTAGTAACAAGGTTTTTTTTAGTACAGGCTAGTGACAAGTGATAGGTCTTAAATCCTTGACCCTCTGAGTACTTGGAATAAGGCAAGTAAAAGTTCCATTCATATTTGGATCAATAATACTGCTCTCATTAAACGCATGAACCACATTATTTACTTTCCCTTGGTCAAGAAACTTGAAATTATATTATCATTGGGCCATTCCACCAAGTTATTTATCCTGTTTTGTTTTTTTTTAATACCTCCTGCTATTTAGATAGTAGATTGAGTTGGGGGATCTATTGCATTTATATGAGCTTAGATAGGTGGAAGGTATTGTGAACAGTGAAGTGTTTTTGTCTCAGGCATGCTTGTTATGGAAATTCTGGTCCTGCTCATATTTTTGAATTGATGTTTTTTTTTTCCCTGGTTACGTTGAATTAAGTCTAAATATTTTTTTTAAAAGTAATTTTTGTTACGATCTGGGCAGGGATGGCTGGAATAGTGGATTACACAAACTATGATGACATGAAATATGCTGTAAGTTGCTTTTTAGATGGTCATCTGATGTCTTTGCAGGGAGATTCGCTTTGTGTTTGATGGTGACACTGGTCCTTTGATTTGGATTTTGTGTTTATGGTTAATTTATTTTAATTTTGTAAATTGTAAACTGGCTTATTTGTGCAGATAAGAAAACTTGATGATTCAGAATTTCGAAATGCTTTTTCTCGTTCATATGTACGGGTATGTGGACTGGAAGTTTATTTATTGTGCTGAATTCTTTTTTGTTATTTTTCTTGTTTGTTACTAATAGATGTATACTAATACGTTCAGGTGAAGGAATATGACTCTAGGCGCAGCTACTCTCGAAGCCCTTCTCATGATTCTAGACGAAGTGATTATTCTAGAAGTCCCAGTCGTAGTCCTTATAGGGAAAGAGGCCGGAGCAGGAGCCGAAGCCGGAGCCTTAGTCGTAGCCATAGTCATAGTGGCAGGAGCACAAGGTTTGTTTCGGTTTTCTTGCAAAATAAAGACTCAAAATGTTCGTGGAAACCAGAATGATATGATGTTTTGTTTTGTAGTCTATCTCCAAGGCTCAATCACTCTCGTCGCTCACGGTCAATTTCTGAACAATCCCGATCAAAGTCTCTTTCAAGGTTTGCTGAATCCCTTCCTCCCCATGACTACTTCATTTCCTAAAGACATTGTCTGAATTTTCACCGTTGCTTTTGGTGATATTCTTTATAAAATGGATGTCATGTCTAGTCTTGTGTATTATTCCCATTGATGACAATGCGGAGGGACTTGGTTTCCATAGAGTACAAACAATTTTATATGTTGGCAACTCTGAAAATATGTTACGTTGTGCATACTGACGTGACTGCCTGTTGTATTGGACGTGTCGCTTTTGTGGCCATCATGTTTTCTTTTCTTTTCCATATTCACATCAAGTTTCTTCATTATGAAGAAAAATATTAGGGGCCGCTTGGTAACTTCTATTTCTTGTTTCTTGTGGGAAATGTGTGTGGTAAGGAGTAACATTTGCTGTTTCTTTTTTTTCATTTCTTTGAAATGTTCTCACAGTCTTGTTCATATTTTGGAAATAAGAAGTGTTACAACTTACAGTGTAACAAAATGTTGGTTATACATATATGGCTATGTATATTTTAGAATTAATTTTCTAGTATAACTTTTCTATTCTGGAAAAGGAAGTTTAGAGAAGAAAAATAAGAATGGTTACTAAATGCATTCGTGTTTTCTCTTTTTGAGTAAGAGAGAACATTCTTTTTTTTTTTTTTTAACAAGAAAGTGAGAACAGTAAATAAGAAATGAAAAATATACAGAGAAAAAGAGAACTAAAAGGAAACCAATTGGGCTCTAAGTCTTGCTGGTCATGTATGGTTAGAAGAATTTGCTCGTAGAAATTGTTTTTGATTAAAAAATTTTTGAGCTTCATTAAGGTTTTAAAGCATTAAAAAGAGGTGAAATGTATTTGATGATCTTGAGAACCCCTGCTTCAATCATGCACTTCGTGTGCAATTTTCATTTATTTTGGCAAATGTTTTCCTATGATAGCCTCCTGCGGCTCCAACAAACAATTGTTCAACTCCACTCCTGAAGTGGTGGGGAAAAAAAAAGACCTCTTTTAAATATATATCTTTTAAAATTTTCCTTCAGCTATGCTCGGGGTTGACAAATGAGGCTGGTGTGTTTGGGCAGTCATCATTGTTTGTTTATGTTTTGCTAGATATGGGCCTTTTGCGGAATAATTGGGACTTCTTGTTAGGGACTTGAGGAAGGTGGTGCTCAATGCTTTCAACTCTTTGGTTGTTGAGGTAATACAGTTCTGTTGATGAGCACCCCAACAAACCTCGATGCTAATAATAATTCTCTTTCCTTATGCATGTTCTCTCAATAGCTGCTAAAACTGATAGAAAGCTCGTTAAGTTGCAATACTCTTCTCGGG